CACTCTTATTTCAAGGTTGTTGTTAATGCTGTGGTTATTTTAACAGTTTCCTTCGTACATTCGGTTCAACAACATTGTTAAAACACATTTATGATTCAATGGAACTGTGCGTATGCTTTAGACACAATTTTGCTCCGTCCATGCAATAAATGCGCAGCCTTCGACTGCTCAGGTAGGCTAATGTCATCGGTATTACCGAGAGCCATTGAAAAACTACAGAAAAGCAAAACTACTTCACTTTAGCATTACTGGCCATGAGTACTAAGGAGAGATCACACATCAGCAGCTCAAAAAATGTGTCAATGTGAGACAAACGGAGCGCGAGCGCAATCCTGTGACAGTCACAGGCGGTAAATAGTGGAGCGCATGAAGGAGAGATGCGAGAGCACGAACACCGTTCAAGGTCTCCATTAATTCCAGCTTGTAGTAATTTATTTGTGTATATATTTTGAAAGCACTGAATCATTGCATTGAAGCATTGAATCATTGAAAGCATTGCTATAGAAATCGCGATTCATTCGATTCTTAGCGTTTTAAATCGATTACCGTCCAAAATCATTGATTCACGATTCAAAAGTCCATGTTTTAAGATCGATGCATATGCATCGTCAGGGTTTGTAATCGATGCATCGAGAAAACGAGTGAATCGTTACACCCCTACTTTAAAGTGAATGCAGTGCATAGAGCACAGTGCATTTTCATAGCGGAGCCACTCAAAGTCTTTCAACCATTCTCTCCGAAAACTGATCTTTTCGGCTGGTGGATCAACATTCACCACATGATCGCTATCACCAGCACCATTATTTGTATCTTCAGGTGGTTTACAAAAGAAAACTGTCAGTGTTTCTTTTACAGTAATTTTCTCTCTTCGTTAGCTAGCCGTCACCTGACAGCGGAAAGCAGTGACTGAGTGACTGACAGCTAATACTAACCAATCTAAAATCTGCATTTAATTTAAGAATGTAAAGATGAAGTTATTAACGTTTGATAGAACGGCAGGCAGGTCACCGTATCAGCACACAGAAGGCACATAACTGTGAACGTTTTTAGAGAAATGAAAACAGGTCGCACTACAACAATTATATGCACTCGCACAAATGCTCCCAAATATATTTTAAGGTTGCACAGACTAAATTATGGGAGCATATGCAACCAAAATGGTCGAGCCTTGGGACACACCTGAGAACTGAGACAGATGGAGGAAGCAGCAGAGGCGGCAGCAGCAGCACAACCACAAGCCTCGATACCGAGGGCTCTTGAGACATGTGCCCTGTCCAAATACCCACACTTGCGATCTTGGCCACTTGAGAGCATGTGCACGCGACAGGAAGCAAGTGCACAAGACTGTCTCAGGTCTTAAAACGCCAAAGCGCAGTGCCCTTAACGCACCATAAATCCACACTCCACGCTCCAGAGTGGTATTCGAGGCTTAGTGTATCCCATCATGCATCATGTTCTGGAAATAAATTGAGATCTCGTGAGAGGTCACAGAAGCCTTTCCTATGCAAGTTAAATAATAATTAGATATTATAATTTGGTAGTAAAACAAAGTGTTGCACATTTTATTGGTGCAAAGATTAGTAGATTTATTTTACATTTGCATCACTTATTTAGAAGCACCACAAATTAAATCATGTCATTTGTTATAGGGACTACTGAACAGACATTTAAGATTATTTTAAAATTGAAAAAAAATAAAGCTCTGTAAATGCTTGCATTTTTGCAACACTATAAGTATGTCCCATCAAGTAATAAAAAGTTCTACAACCACTTGTGGTCTTCATGCTCACTTGAACACTTGGGCCAAACACAGGCAAAAATGTCATATCGTAGTGTATGAATCGCCAAAGACAACAATTTCAGCTAAACATCTTCTTTACTGTTCTACTGAAGAAAAAAAAAAACTCCTACTTTTTGGATGGCCTGGGGGTGAGTAAATTAACAGCAAATTTTCATTCACGAGTTCGCACTTACCAATAATCCGATTGAGCGAACGGTATGCAAATTTGGCGTGCTGTCTGAAGGGAGAGCTTCGAGCTTGGAATTTAACCCGAACCCAAAGAACTCCCCCAAAACATCCCCAAACTAGGATAAGAATAGCTAGGAGTGAGGGGTTGGGGTGGAGAAGGGATGTCAGAAAACTGTTGTGGGGCAATTAAGTTGATTATCTGAATGAGCGCCACCTGTGCTTTAGGGATGTAACGATTACCGGTTTGACGATAAATCATGATAAAATTCCCCACGGTTAGTATTAGTTAG